GTGAAGTTGGAAGTAGAAAAGCTGATTGAAAAAGAGCACCTATTATACCTAGTTGAATTACCATTTTATACAGAGTATTAAATTTTGAGGCTATAAACTTATGTTTTAATATTTTACGCTTTCACTTCGCAAATTTATTTTGTTTTATTGTCATCAGACACAGAAAAGATGGTTTTGCACTGATAGTATCTATATTTTATGTTTGTCACTTTTGTATTTGTTGGTAGGTGAATTTTTAGAAGCTCATTTGTTCTTCAGCACATCAAGACTTGGTGATGTTTACATATTGCCCATAGGTTTTATCGATTAATTTGTATCTCTTTTCTTTAGATTATTTCCACTATAATATTTTTAAACTTGATTTTAATACGGACACGTTATAGTGTAGACAGTTGTACAGTGGCGCCTCCCACCCACCAGAAGTGACAACTAACAATGCAAAAATTGTGAAAATGCAAAAGAAAATCGCATGAAAATTCGAAAACACGCGTTTTCCCAGACATAAGACTAATCTAGATCGATTTATCGCCCCCGAAACCCCTTGTATACTATATTTCATGAAAATCGTTAGAGCCGTTTCCGAGATTCAGACTATACATTGATATATATATATACAAGAATAGCTCGTTTAAATATATTTTTTTATTTATCTTATATAAAAAAAGGTCAAAATCTATCCAAAAGGGGTTTTTATGGCACATCTCATATCCTTGCCGAGTTGTTAAATCTATTCGTAGTTATGAGGATCGACTGAAATACTTCAAAATGCAATCCCTATCAGATCGAAGACACATGCTTGACAGCCTTTTTCTGTTTAAGCTTGTGAGAGGTGTATTAGACGCCGAATGGCTATTAACCTAAATCGACTTTGCCATAGCATCAAGACTACCTAGATCTAAGAATGTTTCATTATTTCATGAAAAAATATGTAAAACCAACCTGGTTCACAATGCGCCACTTAATAGAATGATAAGATCTCACAAAAAATTATGCTCAAGTTATAATATCGATATTTTTTTGATTCTTTTTATAAATTTAAGAATACCATAAAACTTAAGCTTCTTCATTCCACTAACAATGATTAATTGTTTATTGTTATTATTAATAAAAAAAAACATCTTCAAGTTTTTGTTTAAGTATATACTTTCTGTTAACTTTAATTTCAATTTTATTTTTGCTCACTAAACTATTATTATTAAGTTACTATGTTGTTATATTATTAGAATGCAGTGTTGCTTATAATTAGGGCATCATTAAGACTAGATCTTCTTTTAAATAAAACTATCTTTTCGGATTATTTCGCGGATTTATTTTGATTTTTGGTTCCCGACGTTTCGAATGCTTTACAGCATCCATGGTCACGGGAGAGACTGAGGTGTTACATGTAATATTGTAATGTAATATTGTAATGTAATTGGTGCATTTTTCATTTTGTTAATTGTGGGTAGGCTGTCTGTAACAACTATACCATGTCGGTCCTTCGAGCCGGATATTAAAGTTAAAAATAACCGGCGTATATAAAAATATTGAATTTGGCTGTGGAAAAATAAGTGAAATCACAAATTCTTCCGGGGTCATCATATCAAGACTTCGACAAGGCGTGGTTTATGGAATTTATGCAGTATTTAAGCAATTTCAATACTTAATTTCCACCCAGTACTCTAATTCAGGTAGTATTTAAGGTGTTTTAATGTATAAAGGTTAGTAAAATTATAAATTAATAATAATTCTGTAATTTTCACATTCCATTGTTTAAATTTCTTCCTTATCACAATATTCATTGTCTTAATGATATAAGTATAATACTTATAATTGAAATGATATATGTAGATTTAATATGCATTATTGATTAATTGAAATAAGTTCCAAATTACATCTAAATAATTGTAAATTAATATAATTGTAAAAAATTAATCTTTAAAATTATAAAGTTGTAAAATAAAGTAAAATTAAAACATTTATATATTTATCAGAGTTAAGAAAGTTAGATTGATTAAATTTCTTTAGTTTAAATAATAATAGTTGTTAATTTGACTTTGTATATTAAAAATTAGATACATTTCTGTTTGTTAAAATTGTTAAAAAATATAAATAGATAAATAAAATAGATAAAATTGTTTTATACTTTAAAACTGTTTAGTACTTAATCATAATAGTTATATATTATAGTTTAATCTTTTATTTGTATAACGTTCCAGGCTTTGATACTTGCTTCCCACAATGACTGACCGAGAGGAAAGAGAATTAATTAAAAAACGTGCAAGCTTTAAAGGCCGTCTTACGTTGTTTGGTAATTATTTAAGTCATTTGGAAGAATCAGTAAGCCAGTCTCAGGTAAACGAACTACAATTACGTATTAATAAAATGATTAATATTTTTGAACAATATGATGAAATACAGTTTAAAATAGAATGCATAACAGAGGACATGGAAAATCAATTAGTTGTAAGAAATGATTTTGAGTCTCAATATTATAAATTAATAGCACAAGCCCAGGGTATAGTTACGCGCTTTTCTAAACCGAACGAAGCGAATGCTGAAAGTGACAAGAGTTCGACGCGAGCTAATAATAACAATAATCTCGTTAAATTACCCACTATACAATTGCCAAAGTTCAGCGGATCCTACGATAATTGGTTAGAATTCCATGACACTTTTTCTAGTCTTATCCACTGCAATGAAGATATTGATGATATAAATAAGTTTCACTATCTAAGGGCGTCATTAGAGAGCACCGCTGCTGTCGTTATACAGTCCATTGAATTTTCAGCCAAAACTTATCCTGTTGCTTGGAAGATTCTTTGTGAGCGTTTTGATAATAAGCGTATGTTAATTCAGAATCATGTAAATGCATTATTCAACATTGATTCAATCAGTAAGGAGTCTTCTATGTCTATTAAACGTATGATTGATCAATTAAATAAAAATTTAAGAGCTTTAGATTCTTTAGGCGAGCCAACGAAGCATTGGGACACACTTCTTATACATATTGTTATTCAAAAACTAGATTGTAAGACATATCGTGAATGGGAGGAATTAAAAGGTCAGCTTAATAAGGATGAACCTTTAACTTTAAATATGTTTTTAAAATTTTTACGTAGCCGTGCAGACCTATTAGAGGCTTTAGAATTACCACGCTGTAATAGTTATTTAAATCAAACTGGAAAGATTAATACTAAATTTAAAAGTATGGTTTCTATCACAAGTTCACCTCGGGTAGGAGTTGATAGATCTCCAATAGGTTCTTCGACCCCCAAACCCTGCCCAAAATGTAAAGGTGAACATCAACTTAAAAATTGTTCACAATTTTTAGGTCTTAATAATGAACAGCGTTTAAAACTTTTACCTAATTATAAAATTTGTTATAATTGTTTACATGTAGGACATTATGCGAATCAATGTAAAAAACCAGGTTGTAGAATATGTAAACGTAAACACAATACACTTATTCACGTTACAGATCTAAAATCACAATCACCAGTTAATGCTGGATCATTATGCATTGAAAATAATGCTGTGTCTGACAAAAGTCCTACTTCTAACGTAACCTTTTCGGCATATTTAAATAATCCAACGACAAGCAATCATGATGTACTGTTATCGACTGCCCTTATCAAGTTGTACGATTCACACAACCGGGAATACAACGCCCGTGCATTACTTGATAGCGGAAGTACATCATGTCTTATTACAGAAAATATGTGTAATAAATTAAGTTTGCCAGTTGATAATGTCGAAAAGTCAGTGTTAGGAATAAATAACTGTACTTTACCTATTGGTAAGATGTGCTGTGTGCAAATGAAGTCTTTAGATAACAATTATTCTGCACATCTTACCTGTTTTGTTTTACCATCGATAATAAGCAAAGTGCCTTACGGTCACGTAGATATTTCGATGTTAAATTTAAAATCAAATATTGTTTTAGCCGATCCTAACTTTTATACGCCAGGTGATATAGATTTAATTATAGGCGCTGATCTTTTCTGGGAATTGTTAGGGTCACAAATTATTAAATTAGGTACCGGCAAACCGATACTTTTTGAGACTAGACTTGGATGGATAGTTTCAGGACCCGTATTAGGCGGTCATGTATCGAATCGGTTACCGTCACATATTAAATGTAATTTGGCACAAATTGAGTCGATAGATTCAGTAGATTCTAATGAAGTTATTCAAGAGAATTTATCAAAGTTTTGGCATCTAGAAGAGATTAATGACAAATCTTCATATTATACTGAGGAAGAAAAAATGTGTGAGGAGCACTTTGTTAATAATGTGTCACGTCTTACAGATGGCCGTTTCTGCGTTAGGATTCCCTTAAAGGACAAGGTAGATCTTTTAGGCGAATCTTATGAGCGTGCAAAAAACTGTTTTTTATCTCTTGAACGTCGACTTGATAATCAGCCTTTACTTAAGATTAAATATCACGATTTTATGTCAGAATATATTGCACTAGGACATATGTCAAAATCTGATTTAAAGCCTAATGAATTTTCTTACCTGCTTCCACATCATGGAGTGTGGCGTGATAGTAGTTCAACGACCAAATTAAGGGTTGTATTTAATGCTAGCAGTCCTACTACCACAGGTATTTCACTTAATCAAATTCAAATGGTCGGTCCCACAATACAGGACGACCTTTTAAGCATACTTCTTAGATTCAGACAACATAAATATATTTTATCTGCTGATGTAGAAAAATGTATAGGCAGATTGCTGTACATCCAGATGATAGGTGTCTTCAACAAATTATATGGCGCGTTAGTAAATTTGATCCATTAGAGATATATAAATTAAATACTGTAACATATGGCACAGCGAGTGCACCTTTTCTAGCGGTACGTTGTTTAAAACAAATTGGTCTCGACTGTGCAGATGATAAAATACGTGAAATCATTATACACGACTTTTATATGGATGACCTACTCACTGGAGCTGATACTATTGATGAACTTTTATATATTAAGCAAAATATTACCAACGCTTTAAATTCAGCTCAAATGCCACTTAGAAAGTGGAAGTCAAATGCATTAAATTTTGATAATGATGAAATTGCAACTACTTCTTTAAATTTAAATATTGGATCTGATAATCCTAATATAAAGTTAGTTCTAGGCTTAGGTTGGCAATCAGATTCCGATGAACTTTGTTTTAGTATAAATAATAAAATCCCCAGTGTCATGACTAAACGTACTATACTTTCTGTAATTTCACAAATTTTTGATCCCTTAGGCCTACTCGCCCCTTGTGTTATTAGTATGAAATGCTTATTACAGAAATTATGGCTACTGAAATTATCATGGGACGATCCTTTACCATCAGATATATCAAGATCTTGGAATGAATTTATTATCAATTTACCCTTACTTAATGATCTGCGCATTATACGTAACGTTTTAGTAGATTCTTATACATATATAGATCTTCATGTTTTCTGTGATGCTTCACAATATGCTTATGGAGCATGTTTATATATTTGTAGCGGAAATGATAACAGTGAAACTTTAGTTCGATTGCTCATGGCAAAAAGTCGAGTGGCTCCAATCAAACCTATGACCATACCGAGACTGGAGCTTTGCGGAGCACTTGTGGCGTTACGGCTTTATGAAAAGGCGATTTATACACTTCGAGTCAAGGTAAGACGTACGTTTTTTTGGACCGACTCTTCTATCGTATTGGGGTGGCTTAAAATGGTACCTAGTAAATTACAACCATTTGTACGCAACAGAGTTGGAGAAATTTTAGAAAAGTCTCCTAACTGTATTTGGAAGCATGTTCCCACTCATGATAATCCCGCCGATCATATTTCCCGTGGAGTTGATGCTAAAACTATTATGTCACTAGATATATGGTGGTCTGGGCCAACGTTTTTAAAATATAATATAAATATTTAAATATGTCTCAATGGCCTACTCATCCCAAAATTGTTGGGCCACTTCCGGAATTGCGTTCTGTTATAGCAGTAAATGTTGCAATTACAAATAATGATGATAATGATTTTATAAATTTTAGTAAATTTTCAAATTTTTCTAGGCTTAAACGCACAGTAGCATATGTTTTACGGTTTGTTCGAATTTGTAAAAAGGATTTTATCAAAGATAAATTTTTAACGGTAGATGAATTGGATAATGCATTAAATATTTTAATTAGAATATCACAAAAACAGTCCTTTCCAGAATATGACTTGTTGATTAATCATCAAAAATTACCAAATAAAAGTCAATTAATAAAATTAAACATTTTTATGGATGAATCCAATATTATACGTGTTGGAGGGCGTCTAGAACATAGTGATTTTCCTTATAATAAATAACATCCAATATTAATCCATTCTAAGCATTCCTTCACAAAATTATTATTTCATTTTGAACATAAACGCTTGCTACATGCAGGTCCGCAATTATTATTAAGCACTATTAAAGAAACATTTTGGCCAATAGGAGGCAGGAATTTGGCCAAATCATGTTACCGGAATGTCTTCGTTGCGCTCGAGCTAGGGCTAAATTAGTAACCCCTATTATGGGAAATTTGCCATCTAGCCGTGTATCTGTAAGTTTTCCTTTTGAAAATGTAGGAATAGATTATGCAGGGCCTGTTATGATTGTAAGCCGTCAAGGACGTGGATCTAGACTAGTTAAAGCGTATATTGCGGTTTTTGTCTGTTTTTCCACAAAGGCTATGCACTTAGAATTAGTGAGTGATTTAACGAGTAATTGTTTTTTGTTAGCTTTGCGTAGATTTATGTCCCGTAGAGGGAAACCAAAAAATATATATACAGATAATGGAACTTCATTTGTTGGCGCGTTTAATGATATTGCAAACTTTTTGAAAACTAACGTTGTTACTTTATCTGAGACTGTTGCTGATGACGGAATAAAATTTCATTTTACTCCAGCATATTCACCTCATTTTGGAGGTCTGTGGGAAGCAGGCGTCAAATCCACAAAATATCACTTAGTAAGAGTACTGGGCAAATGTAATCTTACATATGAGGAGTTATATACTGTACTAGCACAAATTGAAGCTGTATTAAACTCCCGACCACTGACTTATTTATCCACGGACCCTGCGGATTTGACACCATTGACCCCGGGACATTTTCTTATTGGGCGATCACTTTCGTCCCTTCCGACTCCCAACTACGAAAATGAAAATGTTCACAGGCTGAATCGTTACCAGAGAATAGAACAATTGCGTCAACAATTCTGGAAGCGGTGGAGCAAAGAATACATCTCTGAACTTCAAACAAGAATGAAATGGCAAAAGTCTGAAGCTCAATTAAAATTAAATAGTCTTGTTCTCGTAAAAGATGATAATCTACCACCACTCAAATGGAGACTTGGAAAAATAACGAACGTTCATCCAGGAACTGATGGTGTAATTAGAGTGGCAGATATCACGACTTCAAATGGAATCATCCGAAGGGCTTTCAGCAAAATCTGCCCACTACCGCAACCCGAAGATTGTTGAAAGTCCTACTTTCAACGCCTGGGGGCATGTTTATAAATCTATATTATAATTAATTATAAATTTATGTAATATTAATATTACTATTCAAATAGTTTTTAGCGCCTCTTCATATTTGAAGGCAATGTTGATTCTGTGTTAACTTTCTACCGCTAATTATTTTTTCTTCTACCGACCTTCTCTCTCTGTAAATTGATCTCGATTAAATCATTACGTGTCTGCAATTAAACCTTTCTTTTTACACCTTAAATCTGTTAATTCAAAGACATATGTAATAAATAAATAAATAAATAAGATGACAACGTCAGAAAACTACGTCAAATAAGTATGTCAGCCCAGGACGGCCAACATCCCCCCCCCCCCAACGTCCGTTCACCTTGTCGTGGTGGGGGGGCTCAGTAGTGCCCGGCAATCCAACCGGGCGCGAAGCTAAGAAACGCACAGGGAGGTTGCCCACTTCGGTGGGCGGTGGGAGGTGGCCCTCTTCGGGGGGTGGTGTAACTTTCGGGTTGCTCCTGGTACTTCTCTGATAGCAGAGTGGACCTTGGAACAACCCCATGGTTGTGGTGGTCTGCTTCGGCAGACCTGCCGTCGGGGCGTCGTAGTTGAATGCGTAAGCGATCCTGCGACGCCCTGCGACGACGGGGGAAGGTTTTGTTGGGTTTTAGTGGGTAGTACTGGCTGTATTACGCCGGTGAGTCCCACACGTCGTGCGTTTCCCAACGTTAAAAAAAAAGGACGGCCAACATCAGAATTATTCATTATAGTGGGCGTGAACTTAAATAATGTCTTTTAACAAATACAGTAGATTTAATCAACTTAGTCAGTTACACTTGACACTCAGAGCTAAGTAACAATGTTCGTAAAATAAAGCACAAATTAAACGTTACACAATTAACAATGATAAACAAATTCGGAAATAAGTAATTCATCGTATACGTGGTGCACGGGCGATCCAAATCTGACATTCCTTTTATTATTTCTCTAATACTCAACTTTATTCTTTATTTTAATTTCTTTTTAAAACCTGCCAGTTTGTATCACCCTGCTACCATCACTTCGACGCTTTACTAGAGTGTGCTGTAGAAGCCTGACTTCACACTCTAATTCGACGAGCTCGCCGAAACCTCCAGATGGCGCACTTAGCGCGCCGTCAAGTATTTTATATCAGAATGACAACATAAAGATTAAAATAATGAATCTACAATAATACATATAAATCCTATTTTATATAATTAATAATTTATATTATTTTTAGTATAACACAAGGAACCATCAGGAATCTATGACAAAAAAATGAATTGATGAGCACAGACAGCATTTAATTTTCTAAAACTATATTTGAATAGTCTACAGTCCCCAACGGATTTCTTTTAATGATTAATAACAAGCTAAAACTTCTTGAGTAGCTTCATTTTGGCAACATGCCCAACTATACTTTCTACAATAATTAAACAGTGGTAAATACAATTATGGATTGGTACAGAACATGTCAAAACGGTGATAGTCTAAAAATTACTATCAGGTTGTTTTACGATTTTAATCTTAAGATAAGCCAACCTTAAACAAGAAAAAAATGTTGTCCTACGAAACAGGTGGTTTGTATCAAATCGTCCCTCTCTCTGAACTTGTTAAAATAACAACGTCATAAACTTTATGAATAACGGGCTGATTCTCATAGTATTTATTATTTAAAATATGTATGATTGAATGATCAAACCATCTTACAAATAAAATGGTAGGATTTCTGAGTCCTCCTCTCGAATTTTGTCTTCCCCATGGACTGTAGACCAGAAGCTTTATGCCGTATACATTATTACATGTAATATATTTCTTTCAAGATCAGTACCTCTGGAGTCTGATAATCTCTTTATACTTTAAAAAATTGGTAGTAAAAGAATGTTCAATTTGCAGGTCGAAGACTTGTTATAAAACTTAAAGACAGGTTGTAAAAAACACACAACAATGATATGTTTTAATTTATTAAATAACAGCATAATTAATCCAAAAACATTAATCAATTTTGTTTTTCTTCGGCCATGCTTATTCTACTTCAGATGACATTATTGCGTCAGCATTAGTAATGTACGATTCGCACAAATTTCTTTTATCAAAAGCTTCCAGAATGTCTTCATCAAGGTGATGATTGACTATCGCACTACAACGCAAGTCATAGGCAGCATAAGCGAATGGAGATTCTAACTGATATTCGACTACCTTGCGTAGTGAATGGTTTTGCAAAAAATGTAGGTTATTATTGAAATGCCGATCACGAGTTGATGAAGGCCGGATTGATATTAAAAGAGACTGAAGTTGACGGGTTTCAGCATTATAACAACGAGCTTGTACAAGTCTTGCATATGCCCCATTTATGAGTTCTTTAGTATATTCATTTGAATGCATAACTTGGCCATATAAAATGCGTCCGGCTAGCGACAACTTTTCTGCCCACGTCGAGCTTCTTTGTAGAGCCCTGTCTAAATCCAGTATATTTTCTTTAGTAACTAAACTAAACATATGTCGTATAACGGCATTTTGTAATTCTTCCTCAGTACTGTAGTCTTCAAGCTTTTCTTCTATTACCGCTTGCACTTCATTAGGAGCACCGCCAATGCAGAACACAGTGCCAGTTATACCTGAATAGTTTAATGACTTATAAATATAATAAAACTTATTTATATATATATATATATATATATATATATAAGTATGAAATAATGGTCTACTAATCCATACAGCCGCCTAACGACGGCAGGGTGTTGTAGTGGTGTGCAAGTTGATAGGTGGATGACTGTAATATTTACATTTATGTGATAGTTGGAAAACGGTTTTAGGGTTGATGGGCATAGCCGTTACTTGCGACGAGATTGTTATTACTATAATAATTTAACATCGGAACCGTTCGCCATAAAAATTAGAATTTTTTGACATCCCTTGCATATGACAGCATTTCTGTTAAAATCAATAATATCAATGAATTTCCATAATGTGCTGTTTTGTGAAACTAAATATTAAATGTATCTATATTATAAACTAGAAAATTAAACACATACTTTTGCTGAACAATGTTCTCAAAATACAAGATGTTTTACCTTGATCTTCCAAAATTGCCGCCATTTCCAATGCCACCATTACACCACTTTCGTAACCCAGTAAGTAAACTCTATTCTTCAACTGTGCCTTTTTAAGAAGGGTCTGTGAATAATGGTAAAGAATTTGATGAATAGTGAATACCAACAAAGACATTATGATTCTAATGTACATATATGTATTTTTTTTCGTGGTGAGCCCATTATTAGCCCATATCAAGGCCTTTATTCAAGTAGAAAAATTTGTACGTTAAATCCATACACTATATATTTTATAATATTACAAATGTGAAAGTGTGTTTGTTTGTTTGTTTTGACGGATTAGTGTGATGTTTTATGTGGAGATAGTTGGACGGCTGGAGAGGGACATAGGATACTTTTTACCGCGGGAGTTTATCTAATTCCAGCGGGAAAACACGTTATAATACAATACAAAAAATATTTATGATCAGTATTACTTGAAACTTGCTATTAAGGCTT